CCTCCCGGGTACTATTCAAGTTAGTCTGGGATTTCTTGAATAAGACCGGGGGTACTGTAGTAAGCGCTATACGGTATATACTCGTCACTTGATCATGTGTCCGATAAATAATGAAAAAGCAACATATTTATTGAGATAAATATAAAAAATATATAATTATCGTATCATGGAGTGGAAACTGTAGTACTATCTTCTCTCTGTCTTTCTGATGTAACTACTGATGCGTGATATAACAAAGATAAGTTAGTAATTATTATATTTCGTAAAATTAATAAAGTTTCTATAAATTTAGATACGACTCTTTCGTCCGATAATTGTACAGGAATTTCAACAGATTGAAGATGGTAATATCTGGGTATATTGGCTTTATCCCGAACAAGAGCGTTCAAGTGTAATATATTCCCCGCTACTTGTATCCCTACAATACCAAACTGTTCTTTAGCGGGGTTGAGACTCTGACGTACCCAACAAAGACCATCGTTTGCCTCCCGCCACAATTTTATCTCATCATCCGTCTTTTTTTGTGGAGTACAGAATAAGCGGGAGCATTCGATATACATAAGTTCGAAGATCGTTCCGAGATAATTTCCCAGAAACATAATATCCGGGCGTCTTCCCTTATTTCCTCCTTTTCTATTCGCACTGGCAATGCTTTGCTTTTCTGACGTACTAACAAAAAATGAGTTTGCAGTAGGAAGATTTTTTAAAACAGCCTGAATTGTAGTTACAATGACAGTTGATTGGTATGTTCCTTCATTTACTGATCTTGCGAGATCAGAATTGAACGCCGGATTATTCCAAACATCTTTCAAAACGTTTAAAATTTCTTTAACGACACATGCAATGTCTCCATCGGATTCCTTCCAAGTTTTATCATGTGTCCATTTCGGCTTTGATCTTTCGTCACGCCTTTTAAAATCTTCTATGAATTTCTTACATATCTCTTGAACTATTGACCTGGAATTTGGTACCATATTACGAGCGATTTTCTAATACAAAATATACATGTACATTATTAGTAATAAAAATACGTATTAGTATACTTATATTAAATTCTTACCATAAACCCTTTTTTTAAGTTCCCTGGGAGGTTTTTCACAAGGTCTGAGTTATCGCTGATAACCTGGCTTGCCGTAGGGTCTTCCCAGGATAATTCTTCGACACGTATCTTATTCACGGCGGAGTATAAATGTTGATAGAGGGGGCTTGTATCTCTGTTAAGTTTTCCTTTCAGCTTTTCTATATTATCCCTAATTTGATCTCGGTTAAGGGGTTACTCCTTATTTGTTTTAACAACTCCAAGATCCCGTAAACTACAGACCCCCTCAAAAGCAATCTCAAACTAAAATAAAAATATAATGTATTAGTTTCAGTTATATCAGCAGAGCTGGCACAGCCAAAAAACACATCATTAAAAAATACATTATATATCAGTGCATATGCAAAGTTTCCATTCTCGTGTGACCACCACGTTGAATAGAACTTTGTGTGGTATTAAAAAAGAACTACATTTTAGTTAGAGACCTGCCCTAAATGGCATAATACTCTGCAGGTGGTAAATTTTTCTCGTCAATAGGTTTTTAGGATGAACTACACTACTGCATAACAGTCTATAGCTTAAACATCCCTCCATTGAGAGTAAGTGTTTACCGTGAGCAATTAACGAATAATTACGCCAGTTTCAGCACTCATCCTTAGGAGTGAACCACACAATATTATCATTTTATAAATTTTCAACACATAGAATTATCTTTATCAATAACGAACCTGTGGGAGTATCCGGAGAAGTTTTAACTGGCGTGGAGAACCCTCCATATATATATTACTGACAAACCCTACAGCTTGATCTACAATCGATCGTAATTCATTTTTTGAAATCCAAGGCTCGTCTTCTATCCCTTGGTAAATAACTGAAGTAGCTGTTATGTGGTTTTCTTCCGCATTTATCAAGAAATTGTAAATTTTAGTTTGTAAATCGGTGGACATAGTAATTAGTCGAGTTCGAAGTAATAAAAGCTTTGTTAAAAAGAAGCGACGAATAAGCACAACGTAAATATACTGTCCTTTTAAAACGCTCTCTCCGCTCATTTCTGGTGTCATTTAGGTATGGGAATAGTAGATCTAGGGAATGTGGAACTGGAGCGATGCAATGCACGACGAAAAAACTTTTCACAAAGAAACTGCATATACCACGAGTTAATCAATCAGATTAGAAAATCTGTAGGTCACACGATTACATCATGCATGAAAAGTTCCACGATCTTCAATTTTATTTTGTGGTATAGTATGTGATATGTTGATCAAACATCTGTTGTGTTACGCGGGTTATTATTACTTTGTAATCGAATATTTGTATACGTAATCGATTTTTGTATCGACATTTTTCTGGACAGATTTGTCTCGCAGTCATGTGAATTTCCCAACCAGTAAGAAGGCTAGGATCAAAAAATTTACCGAAGAATACCGGGTAGATCCCGTCACATGTATTTTTATTGTATTAACAAGACAAATGGTCGTAACCACATAGTACAAAGTTTTTAATACATGCCGTTAATATTACAGGTAAAAAAAGCTAATCATTGGATTCTATTGCGGAGCAGGACTGAAGGGACGGCTCTAAAGGAGATGAGACTCCGACTCTACGAGAAAATGAAACGAGATTTCAGCAGGAACTTTATCCAAATAATCGCTGATTTTTTTTTCAGGTTCCATGTGTACATATTCTCTAAGTTCAACATCAACCGCACGAAGATTAAAAGAAGCATTTCTGTACTCGTGTAACAAGATATTACGAACTTTGGTATGTAATACGCTGACTGATTCATTCTTAGAAATATAAATTTCATACGGCGTACTTCGATAGCCAAAAAATGCGCCAGTAGGAATAACAAGAAATATAAAGTCGATATAATCCATTTTCTATCAAATATAAAGATCTCATTATTTAGAATTTTGTTAATGTTTTTATGGCAGACAAGCAAATAAACGTACCTTTTTCTTTTGGATATGAGCAATAATGGAGCGTGTAGTATAGTTCTATGGCAAAGCCCATGAGTCTCCGACTCTAAGTATTTATATACCTATTGGGGTTTTTAGCTCCACCGTAAATCACTAATTTAGAATATCGTGCAATTTATCTAAAATTAATATATTCATCATTCACGGAGGTTAATACTCACGTTTGGGATTATTATCGGAGATGGCGATATTAATACTAACGTCATATTTCATTGTGCTATTGTAGTAATAATTGACGTAAAGCGTTGGGGTTGCTCATGTCCAATGAAAAATATTCAAATCTGGTTTTTGTGTTATATAGAAGGTCACACGATTATGTTGATCGAATGTCTGTGTTACGCATCGATTTCTGGTCACATGATTACATTATGAAAAGTTCCATGACATTCTAATTTATTCCGTGTGATATGTTGTTACCGTAGTAACATAAAATTCTCTAATTCCATAATTTTAACTTAATTTTTACATGAATATTCATATACATTTA